GGGAATCAGATGTAGTAGTGGTAGGTTTGCTGGTTGTTGTAGTAGTGGAAGATTCAGACGGGGTAGGTTTTATGGTGGCCGTGGGCTTAGTGCTTTTGGTGAGTTCTGGAGTAATAGACATAATTTTAGGAGATGTTTTGGGTTCGGGTGATGAAGTGCTTGGTTTAGTCGGAGGTAAAGTGGTTGAAGTGGTAGGTTCAGATGTAGTCATTGAAGCTTTGGTTGTTGTAGTTGTAGGTTCAGTTGTAGTTGTAGGTTCAGTTGTAGTCGGTGTTAGCTTGGTGGTTGTTGTAGTTTTAGGCTCAGTTGTAGTCGTGGTAGGCTTGGTGGTTGTTGTAGTGGTAGGTTCAGTTGTAGATGTACCTTTGGTGGTTGTTGTAGTTGAAGGTTCAGTTGTAGTCGTTGTAAGCTTGGTAATTGTTGTAGTTGAAGGTTCAGTTGTAGTTGTAGGTTTGGAGGTTGTTGTAGTTATAGGCTCAGTTGTAGTAGTTGTAGGTTTTGCAGTTGTTGTAGTTGTGGGTTCATTCTTAATTGTGGCAGCTTTGGTGGTTGTTGTAGTTTTAGGCTCAGTTGTTGTCGTTGTAAGCTTGGTAGTTGTTGTAGTTGAAGGTTCAGTTGTAGTTGTAGGTTTGGAGGTTGTTGTAGTTGTAGGCTCAGTTGTAGTAGTTGTAGCCTTGATTTTAGTAGTAGTGGTAGGCTCAGTAGTAGTAGTAGTGGTAGGTTTGTTGGTTGTTGTAGTGGTAGATTCAGACGGGGTAGGTTTTATGGCGGCCGTGGGCTTAGTGCTTTTGGTGAGTTCTGGAGTAACAGACATAACTTTAGGAGATGTTTTGGGTTCGGGTGATGTAGTGGTTGAAATGGAAGGTTTAGTTGTAGTCGTTGTAGCTTTGGTTGTTGTAGTTGTAGGTTCAGTTGTAGTTGTAGGTTCAGTTGTAGTTGGTGTAGGCTTGGTGGTTGCTGTAGTTGTAGGCTCAGTTGTAGTCGTTGTAGGTTTGGTGGTTGTTGTAGTTGTAGTTTCAGTTGTAGTTGTAGGCTCAGTTGTAGTTGGTGTACTCTTGGTGGTTGTTGTA